AGTTACTGAAATTCTCTAATGCCATTTTCCTCATCTGTAAAATGTGGACAATATGGATACTTAAAGTTATTTTGAAGATTTAAATGAGGTAATGTATATAAAGTGTTTATTATTAACATAGTGCCTGACATCTAGTAAGAATTAAAAAATGTTAACTGCTGGGCCGGCCCGGTGGTGCACTGCTACAGTGCGCCGCTTGGGAAGTGCGGAGGTGCTCCTGCCGAGGGTTCGGATCCCACATACAGACCGGCTTCTCACTGGCTGAGCGAGGTGCGGGAGCAACACCGAGGGTTGTGATCCTGAGCTGGTCACCGGTCCGGTACGGGCGCGACACTGAGGGTTGCGATCCGTTGCCGGTCACGAAAAAAGACAAAAAGGGAAAAAAAAAATGTTAACTGCTACTATTGTTGTTGTTATTACATCTTTTTATATACTTAGATAGCAGTATTGGGCAAAGTTAGTTTAGGAATGGTCCAAATATTTCATCAGTATCTGTCAACAGTATTGGAACACTAGTTTTGTGTATCATGATCACTTACAAGGTATCACTAATAGCTTATTAACAATAAAGTGTTGAAATTTGTGAATGATTTATTCTTGTAATGAACTAGAGAAGATTTTATTAGGAATTGCATGGAGCCCAGAAGAAGCCCACAGGGTTATGTTATGTCATGTGTATGCAGGTGGAAAAAGATCAATTAAGCACTGCTACATAATACCATACACAAATACTGAATTCTGGGAATACTGAAGAGTTACATATAAAAACCAAATCATTGGAAAGTTCATAGGAAACATAATAGAGTATCAGCTGTTACCCAGGGATAATAATTTTTTTGTGATTAAAATTAATATCTTTCTCTTATTTTAAAGGAAAAGTTTCAGATTTGTATCATATAAAGAATGTGAATTTTCTGGGTAGTAAAATTAAAATACAGAGCTGGCCCGGTGGCGCACTGCTACAGTGCGCCACTTGGGAGCGCGGTAGCGCTCCCGCCAAGGGTTCAGATTCCACATACAGACTGGCTGCTCACTGGCTGAGCGAGGGGCGGGCACAACACCGAGGGGTGTGATCCCGTTGCCGGTCCCAGTCCGGTACGGGCGTGACACTGAGGGTTGCGATCCGTTGCCGGAAACGAAAAAAGACAAAAAGAAAAAAATTAAAATACAGAGACAAAACAAAATGCAAAAATAGTTTTTGCTGGGCTGGCCGGTTAGCTCAGTTAGTTAGAGCATGGTGCTGTAGCACCAAGGTTGAGGTTTTGGATCCCTGAACTGTCTGTCCAGCTGCCAAAAAAAAGTTTTTATTAAATGTGTATATGTAAGGAACTTATACTAATTTTAAGATTACTATCAAGCCCCTGCTAGATAAGTGGGGAAGTGACATGAATGATTCATTCAGCAAATACTTCGAGTATTTCTGTGCTAGGTATTGGTATTCCAGTGGTAAAGGAAATGTGGTTTCTGCCCTCCTAGAGCTTAGTCTATAAAGAAGCCATATATTAAATATGGACATAAATATTTACAATTGTGCTAAATGCTTTGAAGGAAAAGTTTGTAATGAAAAATGCAAATAACAACCCTGGAAACTTACTCAGCACCATTAATAATTATTAAATGCAAATACAGTCTTATAACACCAAGGTCAAGGGTTTGGATTCCCACACTGGCCAGCTGCCAGAAACAAACAAACAAATAAATGCAGAAAAAAACATCTAAGTGCAAATAAAACCATCACACATTTATTTAACAATGACTTTATTTTCCAGTATTGGAAAGCCTGCGTGGAAACAGATACCTTGATATATTGCTAGTTATACAAATTGATAACATCCTTTTTGAAGGGTAAATTGGCCATATATATCGAAGTTAAATTTAACTCAGTAATTAAACTCCTGGTAATTTATCTTAAGGAAATCAGTTCAAAAGTAAAAATCAATGTATGCACAAAGACTTTTTAATCACAAATCAGAAAAATCTAGTTTCTTATTATATCAACTCTGGAGTATTTTCTGCTCACTAGGAAGTAATAATATCAAATCTATATAATAGTTTTATGACAAGTATTTTGGGGAGGGGGGCAACAAAATTTAACACATTATCACTCTGGAGTATTTTCTGCTCACTAGGAAGTAATAATATCAAGTCTATATAATAGTTTTATGACAAGTATTTTGGGGAGGGGGGCAACAAAATTTAACACATTATAACTTTAGTTACAGTGTAAACTGTGTACAGAGAGATAGTACTCAGAGTGTAACAAGAAGTAAAGACATTTATGTTAACTTATTGAAATGTAGGTGAAATTTGTTTATTTAAAATAAGCTTTTAGCTGCATTTGACTTTAACTTTAAAATAATGCTTTTCTTCTCCTTCAGGTCTTTTTGCCTGGCTTTTTGTCCAGCAATCTTTATTATAAATATTTGAATGATCTCATCCATTCAGTTCGAGGAGATGAATTTCTGGGAGGGAATGCTTCACTGACTGCTCATGGCTCTGTTGGCCCTCATGATGAGTCTCATCCAGGTGGTTCAGACAGCTCCACTTCTCAGGTATTGACTGATTTGCATCTACCATTAGGGAGAAAGGCTTAGAAATCCTCTCCTTCAAATGCCAGTGACATCCTGTTTAAGTTTTTATTTTATTTTATTTTTGGTGGCTGGTTGGTACAGGGATCTGAACCCTCGACCTTCATGTTGTCAGCACCATGCTTTAACCAAGTGATCTAACCAGCCAGCACATGTTTATAAGTTTTAAGTTGTATAAATAAAGGATAAATAAAATCGGCCTTCTTACTGTATTTTCTAATTAAAATATTTATGGTGGTTAACAATATGCCATATTGTAAAGTATCATGCTGCTTCATTCAGACCATTATTCTACTTGACACTCTAGCTGTTTTTCTTAACAATCAAATAATATGAAATATATTTATAGCCTCTGAAGAGATCTTTATGGAATCATTTGAAAAATTTTATCAACTAATTTAGGATGCTTTTTAATAGAATAATTGAGTGAACTCTTAGGTTTCTCAATTTGTATTTCACTTGAGACCTTTTGGTTTCATTTTGAACTACACAGTACATATTTCCTTAAGCTTTTTTGGTTTTTTGGACTGCTTTCATATATCAAACCTTACCTGATTTTCCCCCAAATCACATGAAGTGTGATATCCCCAAGAGATTTAAGGCACTAAGAAGTTAACTGATAGGCTGGCAGTCAGCTTACTTGGTAGAGTGTGGTACTGGTAACACCAAGGTTAAGGGTTCAGATCTCCATACCAGCCAGCTGCAAAAAAAAGTTCACCGATTTTTATTAAACACACACAGTAAGTGATAGAGCTAGAAATATTTCCCATCTTCACCATAAATGTTCGTCACCATAAGTTTAATAATATATTGTAATAACTTCCTCATTGCTGTTGACAAATAACACTTCTAATTTTTTGATACTGGGCCTTGCATAAGTTTTCTTAACTTATAGACAGTACTATTTTATTGCCATCAATAATGCGCTCCCGAGTACCTTTTTCTCCTATTAAGTTTACATAGGAGGTGACCTTCTGAGTGTGGTTGCCATTTTGATTTTTGATATAGGCTAGAATATTTAGGCACTTAAATGATCTAGGTGCTAATCATAAAATATACTTTTATACTTTTTGGCGAAGTATACAAAAAACTGCACTTATCGTGACTACATAACACCTTGAAGAATTTTCACAAACAGAACTAACCCACGTAACCAGCATGTCGGAAGCCCTCTTGTGTGTTCCCTTCCAGTCACTCTCCTTATCCCTTCCAGGGTACCTACTTTCCTGACTTTTGACAGCATAGATTAGCATTTCCTGTTCTTGTCATTTGGTAAATGAAATCATACTATGCATTCTTTTTTTCTATTTTTTTTTGTACAACTTCTGTTGATAATTCATGTTCACGTCATGCAAGTCAGTGGTTTTAGTATATTCACAGAGTTGTGTAATTATCATCACAATCAATTTTAGAACATTTTTACCCAAAAAGAAACTCCCTTTACTTTAACTCCAAATTCCCCATTCCTCCAGCCCAAGGCAACTGCTAAACTATTTTTTCTCTATATGGAGACAATAGATTTGCCTATTCTGGACATTTCATATAAATTGAACCATATAATATGTGATCTTTTGTAACTGACTTCTTTCACTTAGCATCATGTTTTCAAGGTTTATCTTCTAATTTTTTGATACTGGGCCTTGCATAAGTTTTCTTAACTTATAGACAGTACTATTTTATTGCCATCAACAATGCGCTCCCGAGTACCTTTTTCTCCTATTAAGTTTACATAGGAGGTGACCTTCTGAGTGTGGTTGCCATTTTGATTTTTGATATAGGCTAGAATATTTAGGCACTTAAATGATCTAGGTGCTAATCATAAAATATACTTTTATACTTTTTGGCGAAGTATACAAAAAACTGCACTTATCGTGACTACATAACACCTTGAAGAATTTTCACAAACAGAACTAACCCACGTAACCAGCATGTCGGAAGCCCTCTTGTGTGTTCCCTTCCAGTCACTCTCCTTATCCCTTCCAGGGTACCTACTTTCCTGACTTTTGACAGCATAGATTAGCATTTCCTGTTCTTGTCATTTGGTAAATGAAATCATACTATGCATTCTTTTTTTCTATTTTTTTTTGTACAACTTCTGTTGATAATTCATGTTCACGTCATGCAAGTCAGTGGTTTTAGTATATTCACAGAGTTGTGTAATTATCATCACAATCAATTTTAGAACATTTTTACCCAAAAAGAAACTCCCTTTACTTTAACTCCAAATTCCCCATTCCTCCAGCCCAAGGCAACTGCTAAACTATTTTTTCTCTATATGGAGACAATAGATTTGCCTATTCTGGACATTTCATATAAATTGAACCATATAATATGTGATCTTTTGTAACTGACTTCTTTCACTTAGCATCATGTTTTCAAGGTTTATCCATGTTTAGCATGTACCAGAACTTTATTCCTCTTTATGGCTGAATAATATCCCATTGTGAGGATGTACCATATTTTGTTTACCTATCAGTTGATGGACATTTGAGTTGTTCTTCCCCTTCTGCTAATAATAATATTGCTGTGTATTTTTATGTACAAGTTTTTGTGTAGGTATATGTTTTCATTTCTCTTGTTGTGTATACCTAGGAGAATGTGTCATTATAGTTTTTATTTGCATTTCCTTGATGACTATGATGTTGAGCATTTTTTCATGTGTTTATGGCCTTATGGAGAAATAGACATTTTAAAATTGGGTTGTTTGGGGCCAAGCCCGTGGCGCACTCGAGAGAGTGCGGTGCTGGGAGCGCAGCAGTGCTTCCACCGCCGGTTCGGATCCTATATGGGGATGACTGTTGCGCTTACAGTGCTCACTGGCTGAGCGCGGTGCAGCCAGTCTCAAAAAGGACCAAAAAAAAAAAAGGGTTGTTTGTCTTTTTATTACTGAGTTGCAGGAGTTCTTCACATATTCTAGATACAAGCCGCTTATCAAATATGTGATTTGCAAATATTTTCTCCAATTCTGCAGGTTGTCTTTTTACTTTCTTGATAGTGTCCTTTAAAGCACAAAAGTTTTTCATTTTAATGAAGTTCAGTTTATCTACTTTACTTTTGTTGAATGTGGTTTTGGTGTCATGTCTAAGAACAATTGCCAGATCTGAGGTCATGAAGATTTACAAATCCCTTGTTTTCTTCTAAGAGCTTTAGGTCTTTGATCCATTTTGAGTTAGTTTTCCATACAGTAGTATATGAGATAGGAGTCCAACTTCATTCTTTTGTATGTGGATAATCCAGTTATCCCAGTACCATTTATTGAAAAAACTATTCTTTCACCATTGAATGGTCTTGGCACCTGTGTTGAAAATCAGTTGATTGTAATCGTATGGGTTTATTTCTGGATTCTCAGTTCTGTTTCATAGATCTGTATGTCTGTATGCCAGTACCACATTGTTTTCATTACTGTAGCTTTGTAGTAAGTTTTGAAGTCTGGAAGTGTGTGTCCTCCAACTTTGCGTTTTTCATTTTCAAGACTATTTTGGCTATTTTGTGTCCCTTGCAGTTCCATATGGGCTTTAGGATCAACTTTTCCATTTTGATCAAGATTGCATTGAATCTGTAGATCACTTTGGGGAGTACTGCCATCTTAACAATATTAAGTCTTCTAGTCCGTGAACACAGGATATGTTCTTCTTTAATGTCTTCCTTAGATTTTTTTGTTTTGTTTTGGCAGTTGGCTGATTGTCTTCTTTAATTTCTTTCAGCGACGTTTTATAGTTTTCAGTGTACAAGCCTTGCACCTCCTTGGGTCATTTATTCCTAAGTATGTTATTCTTTTTGAAGCTATTATAAATAGAATTGTTTTCTTAATTTCATTTTCAGATCATTCATTGATAATGCATAGGAATACAGCTGTTCTTTGCATGTTGACTTTGTGTGTTCAACTCTGCAAAATTTGTTTCTTAGCTGTAACAGTTTTCTTGTGGATTCTTTAGGATTTTTTTATATGTAAGATCATGTCATCTGTGAATAGTTTTCTTTCTTCCTGTCCACTTTGGGTGCCTTTATTTCCTTTTCTTGCGTAATTGCTCTGGCTAGAACTTTCAGTGCAATGTTGAATAGAAGTTACAAAAGCAGGCATCTTTGTCTTGTTCCTGATCACACAGGGAAAGCTCTCAGTTTTTCACCATTTAATCTGTGTTAGGTACAGGTTTTTTATAAATGCCCTTTAGCAGTTTGAGGATGTTCCCTACTATTCCTAATTTTTTAAATGTTTTTTTAATCATGAAAGGGTGTTGGATTTTGTCAGATATTCTTTCTTATGTCAATTGAGATGATCATGTGGGGCTTTGGGTTTTATAGTATTGCTACAGTGTATTACATTAATTGATTTTCAGATATTAAGCTAACCTTGCATTCCTGGGATAAGTCCCACTTGGTCATGGTATATAATCCTTTCAATTTGCTGCTGGATTCAGCATAGTAGTATTTTATTGAGGATTTTGTATCTATACTCATAAGATAATACTTACACTTTGTAAGAGATACTGGTCTTTAGTTTTCTTGTGATGTCTTCTTTTGGTATCTGAGTAACAGTAGCCTCATGGAATTAGTTGGGAAGTATTACCTCTTGTTTATTCTGGTGCCTCTTTCTTTCTGATTTAAATGTGTGTCTTGGAGATTGTTCTTCCCAGTACATAAAGAGAGCCCTTTCCTTCCACACACCCCCACACTACCACTATAGAGTGTTCTGTAAGTATCTGTTCAATTATTTTATTTACTTAACCTTTCCCTTAGTTGTGGACATTAAGCTTGTTCCTGTCTTTTGCTGTTTAAAACAATGTTGCAGTGAGTAATCTTGTATATAAGTTATTTTGCATAAGTATGAATCTGTCTGTAATTGAATTTTTAGAAGTGGAATTTCTGGGTCAACCCATGGCTCTGTGTTTCATAAAAATACCAATTCTGACTTGTTTTTCTTGTACGGGTGGGGATTAAGAGGTAGAATGGTAGAGGGGAACTTCCTATACTCAGCTAGCTAGTCATTTCAGAAAGGTTTTGTTAGTTGTTTTTGTCATACAGCCTCACTGAGAATCAAAAATTGTTGACCCTGTCAAAGTTGGGCTTTACGTTTGTTAGCCAAGATACCTAAGCCTAGACAGATGAAAGTTTTGCACACTGGGGAAATAATGCCTGTGAGAACAGTGCATTTGTTGGAACTTAGGTCATTGAGAAAACAAACAGATTTGGCATGCAAATGCATATGTTACACATTTTAATACTGTGCTTTCCTCCTGTAGTTATAGTTGCTATACATTTATATAGTATACTATATAGTAGTTACACATTTAGAATCATTGCTGTTAAGCATCTCGGTAGTGATGGAGTTAAGTGAAAATTGCGTGTATTTCAAACACTGAAGAAAGTTTTGTACAAATCTATCATATGCCATATACAGGACCGATTTGTTTCCTGAGTAATAGACTGCTAATTTTACAATTTCCGTTGTAGTCCAGTGTGAAAAAAGCCAGTATTAGAATTCTGAAAAACTTTGATGAAGTGATAATTGTAGATGCTGCAAGTCTGGATCCAGAATCTTTATATCAACGGACATATGCAGGGTAAGCTTAGCTCATGTCTGGAATTGTTACAAGTGTAAAGAATTTTGCATCTTTTTTTTTTCCTTTTTGTCTTTTTTCGTGTCCGGCAACGGATCGCAACCCTCAGTGTCGCGCCCGCACCTCGCTCAGCCAGTGAGCGGGAACCGGTCTGTATGTGGGATCCGAACCCTCGGCGGGAGCGCCACCGCACTCACAAGCGGTGCACTGTAGCAGTGCGCCACCGGGCCGGCCCCGAATTTTGCATCTTTTAAAAATTTGTATTAAATTTAAATTTTTTCTAATCCATTATTATATGCCCAGGACTTTCACATATTGTGTACAGTATAACATGGTGGTTAAGAATGAAGGCTCTAGAGTGACTTCCTGGGTTGTTTTTTGTTTTTTTTTGTTTTTTGGTCGTCTTTTATTTTATTATTGGTTATGAATATTCATGGGGTACAAAGCTGATTGTCACCATTTGTGCCCAAGATATGATGGCCAGATCCATACTGGCAGCGTGCCCATTACCACAAATTGTGATTATACCACATGTCCCCCACCCAAGCAGTTATCCCTGACCCCCTTCCCCATCACCCTTTCCCCCACTTCACTTTGACTTCCTAGGTTTTAATCTCGGCTCTGCCACATATTGGCAAGCTGCTTAACCACTTAGTGTCTTAGGTTTTTTAATCTATAAAATGAAAATAATTTCACAACTTGACTGGGTTGTTGAGAGGATTAAATGCAATAATACATGAAAAGCATTAAAGTATTGCCTGATATCTAGTCAGCACTCAGTAAATATTGTTATTCTGCCACCATATACGAGATTGATGTCATGTTTATATAGTATGTTTTAGTCTGCCTCTTGCACATTTCATTTAATTCACACGTTAGCTATTTCAGAGTCTCAGTCTTAAAAATAAAAATAAAGTAGAAAAATGCCAATATCATTTAATGTGGGCTGCATAAGTAACACTTGGAAAATGAAATAAAATTACTCCTTTTTTAAAACAATAATCGACTTTGTTATGCATTTTAACCTTTTGGAAATTTTGAGAGGAATTGCATTGAATTTGTAAAGATTATTTTGCTTTCTGTGGAGAAAGATTTTACTTCAAATAAGCCCCCCTTTGAGTAATATGGATGACTATCAATTATGTTTCTAGCTTTCTAGATTTAGGTGAGATGCTTAAAAATTGATTTTTTTTTTCTTCTAAGTTTAAAACTGATAGAAATTATGTTCTTTTTATGCTTATTTAGGAAGATGACATTTGGAAGAGTCAGTGACTTAGGGCAATTCATCCGAGAATCTGAGCCTGAACCTGATGTAAAGAAATCAAAAGGTTTGTGGTGTTTTATACTCCATATTATGCCTTTACTCACATGAGTCATTGACTGCAGGTAAAGGATCATTTAAGGTTTAAACTGTTTGTTTTGTGAAATAACCACCGTATCTTTCACCCTGTGTTTATAGTCACTAGTGAGTACAGTGAGGGCTTTGTGTCATCTCATCTCTATACAGTCTCTTCCTTGGAATCAAAAGTTATTGAACTTGGGCTGGCCCGGTGGTGCACTGCTACAGTGCGCTGCTTGGGAGCGCGGCGGCGCTCCCGCTGAGGGTTCGGATCCCACATACAGACCGGCCGTCACTGGCTGAGCGAGGTGCGGGTGCAACACCGAGGGTTGCGATCCCGTTGCCGGTCCCGGTCCGGTTCGGGCGCGACACTGAGGGTTGCGATCCGTTGCCGGTCACAAAAAAAGAGAGACAAAAAGGAAAAAAAAAAAAAGTTATTGAACTTGCTTTACCACTGCAGAAGGCCCATCAATATGAAAAAATATTGGTTATCTTTTTATTTAATGGTGAAATACCAATCTACATTGGACGTGAGGTTTGTCTTGAGACCTATATTTTATTAAATTTCCTCAAAATTGCTGAAAGTTATTATGATATATATATGTAAAATATTAGTAGATTGAAATTCAGATCCTTACATTATTGATCAGCAAAAGAGTGAATGATCAAGTCCAAGAGTTAAACGCAGAAATCCTCTTTGACAAGCTCATGCTTTGTGACTGATTTCAGCTTCCAGACAATTGGTTTGCACAACATTTTGGATCCATGCACATCTGGAGCTTTTCAGTGTGGTTGGATTGACAATATTGTCTTGAGTAAGGAGAAGAAAATGCTCCATTTTGTTAAGTGTGTTTAAAATGAAGAGCTATTGTTAATCTTCTTGTTGATTTTTGTAGGACTGCATTTCTGTTATGCTTATTTTTTTAATGCAACTATTGTTTGGGTAATAAAGTGCACCACTTTATTTTAATGAACAATCAACTTTCTGGTCAGATATGCATTGACACTGTCAAAAAAAAAGCAAAAAGTGCAACAATTTTTGAAATAATTTAGACCAAAAAAGAGCCTATTACCTAGTTGACCTTATTTATACAAATAATTGAATTTTTTTTGTCAGAAAGTCTCGGGTGCACAGTTGGGAAGAATGTAAAGATTGAAGGAAAGTCTACGTAGTTCATTTGTTATTTAATATTTGAGTGCCTCTCTCTGTACTCGTTTTCGCTGGGCAGTTAGAAGATACAGATCCTGCCATCAAGAAACTTACAATCTAGTAGTTCTGTGTCTTGTATTGGGTAAAAGATACTGGGATGAGATCACTGGTGGCCTTAGAACAGAGGAAATACTGAATGACCTCTGTGAGTTATTGGCAAGGAAGGACTCTGAATAAGTGTCATTAGGTAGCTTCAGTCAGTGAGGATAATGGGGGTCTCCAATATTAATAGAAAACCTCTGACAGCTCATGAAGAAGTGCTCCTGTTCCATATAGGTAGCTATTGCATATAGTATAGATGTTGGGTGTTTGCAGCTTGTTTTTTTTTGTTTGTTTGTTTTATGTGAATTAAGTCATATTATGAGTAGTTGAAGATACATAAGAACTTTTTTCCCAAACCACTGTCTCTGCTCACTTTATTCATTCAGTCCTTTCATATTATTCGTTCATTTATTCTAAAAAATAGGGGAGTGCCTATGATATGCATCTATTATTCTAGACACTGGGAAGAAAACATAGTTCCTGCTCTCATGGAATTACATTATAGTGGAGGAGACAATAAACAGATAAACAAATACATGTATGTATGTGTGTTCGTTTGTTTATACATAAACATAAAAAGCAGGGTAAAGGACTGAAACAGTAGTGGGGAGTGCTGTTGTACAGGTGATTGTCAAGAAAGGCCTCACTGAGAAGGTAGCATTTTGAGAAGAGGTCTGAACACAATGGGGGGCAGTAAACCCTGGCAGTATCTGGAAGAAGAGTGTTCTTGGCAGAAGGGACAAGAATAGGGCCGGCCCGGTGGCGCACTGCTACAGTGCACCGCTTGGGAGCGCGACGGCGCTCCTGCCGAGGGTTCGGATCCCACATACAGACCGGTTCCCGCTCACTGGCTGAGCGAGGTGCGGGCGCAACACCGAGGTTTGCGATCCCATTGCCAGTCCCGGTCCGGTCCGGGCGCGACACTGAGGGTTGCGATCCCATTGCCGGTCGCGACACTGAGGGTTGCGATCCGTTGCCGGACACGGAAAAAGACAAAAAAAAAAAAGAAGGGACAAGAATAGAGTCCTGAAGCTAGCGAATTCACCATGATCCAGGAGCAGCAAGACCCATGTGGCTGGAGTGCAGTGAGCAAAGGGCTGAGTGGTAGAGGTGAGTGAGTTGGAAGGGTTACCAGAGACCATGGCAAGGACTTGAAAGTGTTGGGGTTGCAATACAAGTTGGAGCAGGGAAGTGATGTGATGGGGTTTATGTTTTAAAGAGATTGCTGTGGCAGCTCTTTGGAAAAATAGAAAGTAGGGGTTTAAGGGGAGAAGCAGGGAAACAACATTCTTACCGTAGTCTAAGTCATAGTCTAAGGGAGGAATGATGGTGGTTGTGGATTAGGCTGGCAGTGGAAGAACAGTAAGCTTTGGGTTATAGTCAAGGTAGAAGCCACAGGATTCCGTCTCTACCAGCAAGCCTATCCATCAAGTTATTTGCATTATTCATTTAAATGAGACATGCCTATATAAAGTGATGAATATGAATTTCTGCAATTTGGTTAAAGACATCCACATAACTTGACACTTCCTTTGGTTGTCCACATGTCTCTTTAAGTCAAATATTTTTTGGTAGTGTAGGAGCCTAGAGATTGAATTCATTCACTCAGAAGGCATTTGAGTGATTCTGGTGTGCCAGGCACCATGCTAGATGCCAAGGATATAAACAAAAACGTATAGTTTCAGTCTATTTTACTCTAGCTTGGTTCCTTTTTTATGACCCTGACGTGGTAAGCATATGAGGCTTGTTGTTTTGCAGAGTGCTCAACCTTCTGGATTTTCCTGGTTGTGTTGTTTAGCTTATTTCTCTCTCCCCCACATTTCTTATAAAGTGGAAGTTATATTTAAACTCTTAATGATTCAAGTTACACATTTTTTGTTAGAACACATTGTAGGTGATGTTTGAACAACTTTTTTTGGGGGGGGGTGGCAGCTGGCTAGTACAGGGATCGAACCCTGGACTGTGATGTTATCAGCACCATGCTGCAACCAACTGAGCTATCTGACCTATAGGTGATATTGTATATGGTGTTTTTAAAAGGCTTTCTATATATTGTTATAAACTTTGAAATATTGCCTGAAAGGATATGCAAAAAATTTAACAGCAATTACTGTTATTTTTTGTTATACCCTTTTCCTCTACTCTTTGAATTTTCTTGCCCTGTACATATACATTGCTTAATCATCCACCCCATTTTTTCCCACATGGCTTTCTGTTGCACTCTGAATAAAATCTAGCCTCTTTGCTATGGCCTGTGAATGTCCCCTCCCAGCCTCTGTAACCTTACCTTGAACCATTCTTCCTTTCACAGACTGAGCTTTAATTGGAGTATTCTTTATTCTTTTTCTGAGGTTTCTTCCCTTTTAGGGCCTCTACAGTTGCTGTGTCCCCTGCCATGGCCTTCACAAAATGACTGGCTCCTCCTTCTCATCTCAATATTATCTCTTCAGAGAGGCCTTCCCAGCCCACATGACCTAAAATCATCTGTACATTAACATACTACTTCTTTAGTTTCTTATTCATTGTCTGAAATTATCTTGTTTATTTATTTACATACTTGTTTTTATAGTCTCTCTTTCATGACTAGAATATGACCTCTAGGAAAGCAGGGATTTTGTCTATCTTATTTGGGACTGTATTTCCTGGTCCTAAAATTCTGCCTGACACATGGTTGGTATTCATTAAATATTTGTTGATTCAATTAATTGATACTTAAGAATTTTATTAGAGATATTCTGGGTAGTAAGATTATGGGGCATATTTATTTTATTTAAGAAAAAATAACATTTTTAAAACTTGATTGCCCTTTGTACACTGATACAGACACTAAATTTCCTTATCCAGATTTCTTCATTCTTCTGAGGATAGTCACAGAGGCCCTTCCCCTCTTCTTAGACTCCAAATAGTGGCTATATCTTAGCATTTTCAAGCTCATACAGTTCTTAGATGACAAATCTATGTGTACCACCTCCTCATTCCACAAATGAAGAAAGTGAGGAATAGGGAGATTGTGGCTTGTTAGGGATCTCATAACAGAATAATAGCCACTGCAGAGCTATGGCTCAGAACTCCATGTTAACAGCAGTTGTTTGCAATTCAGCTCTCCTTCCTTTACCTTCTCCTCCTCCGTTGCTGAGGGCATCTGGAAAGAATGTCTGTCACTTATCAGCCTGTAGTTTTTTTTTTGTTTGTTTGTTTTTTAAAAGATGACCGGTAAGGGGATCTCAACCCTTGACTTGGTGTTGTCAGCACCACGCTCACCCAGTGAGCAACCGGCCATCCCTATATGGGATCTGAACCCGTGGCCTTGGTGTTATCAGCACCACACTCTCCCGAGTGAGCCACAGGCCGGCCCAGTCAGCCGGTAGTTTTAATTTGGGTTTTGAGACCTTGGTAATAAAGCACAGAAGAAAAGATTGAGTTATGAGGAAGGTGTTATCTCAGAGGCTTCTGAGCATGTGAGAACTTTGCTTTCAGAGCAAGCAAGGTAACTTAAGATACATGAAAATCAACTAAGAGCAAGTGTAACAAGGAGGAATTGTGGAAGAATGTTGTATGTGTACCTGTAGTGGCAGCCTGTCAGTGCCTAGATGGTGTGTTGGGAGACGAAGCTGTACTGACACTGGCAGAGCCCTTGCGTGCCATGTTGAGGAGCTTGCACTCTGTCCTGTAAGCATTAGGGATTTCTAAGCAGAGTACTGATCAGATGCATTTCTCTGGCAGTAGAATAAGAATAAGTTGGAGTTGGGGAGAGACTGGTACAAGGGAGACTAGTCAGGCAGCAGTGTTAGCTAGTAATACAGATAGAGGAGGAAGAGGATTTGAAATTAGGTAGTGGCAGCAGGAATTAAAAGGAAGGTCAGATTTATGAGATTTCGAAGATTGAATTCAAAAGACTGCATTCCAAGGTGGAATTTGGTAACAGATTTCATATGTAAATGAGTAAATAAGGAAGGTGATTGAGTTTTTTAATATGGATTCTCTGGATGAAAAATTAAGATGCTGAGACAGAGAACACAGAAAAAGAGTAGGTGGGAGACAAATGAGTCCAGTTTGGAACATGTTAAGTTTGAGGTGCTTTTGGATTATTTGGGAGTATGGATTTAATACCCAAGGAGGAATTTCTGAGTTATTTGCCTATTGAAGGAAGTTAAAGCCACAGGAGGGGATGAAATGCCCTAAAGAGAATGTGTTGAGGAGGAAAAGAAGGCTGACAGTGGGATCCTGGAGAAGCTCCCTATTAAAAAGGAGGGAATGCATGGAGGAGGAGTCAAAGATATGGGTACTGGAGGAAAAGGAGAGATTGTCAGCAGGTAGGGAGATTCAGCAGCCACTGGAGACTTTAGTCAGATCATTTAGCGTTGTGGGCATGTTGACTCTTGTGTGGTAGTAAAATTTGTCTAGATTGGTATTCAGACAGACCCTTAGCTAATAATAAAAATTATTGAGGGAAAAGAATCCAGGTTTTGTATTTTTTATGAATGCTATGAATAGTCCTATTCCAATTACTGAATTAATCAGGATTTTGCCTTAAGAAATAATCTACCAAAACCAGTTACAGATTTTTTTCCTTCTCTACTCCCACTGCTTCACTTGATGAGCCTTTAAAAAATAAAAAATAAAAAGAAAGATTCTAAAGAGAATAATTCACTTGGTTTAAGGTACAGTTAAGAAGTGAGCCTATTGAAATTATTAAATAAAAGGATAAACTGAGCATAGAGCTAGGGAAGGGTCTGGAGCTCACAGACCCCTCGAGCCCGTTCACAAACCATTCACACTCAGGTCTGTGAGCTAGGTTAACTGAACAAAATGGTTCTTGGAGCCTTGGTTGAAGAAGGAATAGTCTTTATTCAGCACACACAACACTATGAGCCAAGCAATCCACAGAGAAACTCAAATTCAACTGCTACCGGTAAAGTCCAAAGAAAAACTGAAAATTGAACAACTGCCAGCAGAGTAAACATGCTCTATTTTTAGACGACCTCTGCCAGTCAGTTCTGCTAACTGCAGAACACACAATTGCAGTTAACTAGGAAGATACATGGGTGCACACCAGCACTAACTCCACCCACACATAATTTGTTTACAAGAAATGTCCCAGGAGCCTGACTAAATTATCCTATTTTCCCCACACCGAGTATATCATTGGTAGAAATAGAGGCTAGCCTACCTCCTTGATAATTCCTCAGCATGTGAGTGCAGATGTAGGCTTGTGCGTCCTAGGAAATTGAGCTGTATGATGGCTTGGCTAGAGCTTGGCTATTTAAAACTCTGCTGTTGGGCCGGCCTGGTGGCGCACTGGATAGTGCGCCGCTTGGGAAGCGCGGCGGCGCTCCCGCCCGAGGGTTCGGATCCCACATACAGACCGGTTCCCGCTCACTGGCTGAGCGAGGCGCGGGAGCAACGCCAAGGGTTGTGATCCCGTTGCCGGTCCCGGTCCGGTACGGGGGGCGACACTGAGGGTTGCGATCCGTTGCCAGACACGGAAAAAGACAAAAAAATAAATAAATAAAAATAAAACTCTGCTGTTACCTGGCTAATCCACATAGACCAGAGATCCAGCTTGTAGCAGCATAAAATGTACTAGAAAGCCTTTTGTATAGGAGCTGGTCTGGAAGGTTTGATACATAAGGAGTGGATCAGTGTCTCCTGATGTATTACTACATTCTTACCAAAGAACAATATCCTGGTTAGGATTTTGTTTTGTTTTGCTTTTAGTGTTTGCTGCAAATCTAACACTAGATGATAATTCTTTCCTCAAATGAAGAGAGCAGAAGGAAAATCAAGAATTCTGAAGCAGCTTTTNGCCAAGGGTTGTGATCCCGTTGCCGGTCCCGGTCCGGTACGGGGGGCGACACTGAGGGTTGTGATCCGTTGCCAGACACGGAAAAAGACAAAAAAATAAATAAATAAAAATAAAACTCTGCTGTTACCTGGCTAATCTACACTGAGGGTTGCGATCCGTTGCCAGACACGGAAAAAGACAAAAAAATAAATAAATAAAAATAAAACTCTGCTGTTACCTGGCTAATCCACATAGACCAGAGATCCAGCTTGTAGCAGCATAAAATGTACTAGAAAGCCTTTTGTATAGGAGCTGGTCTGGAAGGTTTGATACATAAGGAGTGGATCAGTGTCTCCTGATGTATTACTACATTCTTACCAAAGAACAATATCCTGGTTAGGATTTTGTTTTGTTTTGCTTTTAGTGTTTGCTGCAAATCTAACACTAGATGATAATTCTTTCCTCAAATGAAGAGAGCAGAAGGAAAATCAAGAATTCTGAAGCAGCTTTTCAAAAATTTTTGAAATCACAATGTTTTTCCTTTTTGTCTTTTTTTTGTGTCCGGCAACGGATCGCAACCCTCAGTGTTGCGCCCGCACCGGACTATGTATTACTACATTCTTACCAAAGAACAATATCCTGGTTAGGATTTTGTTTTGTTTTGTTTTTAGTGTTTGCTGCAAATCTAACACTAGATGATAATTCTTTCCTCAAATGAAGAGAGCAGAAGGAAAATCAAGAATTCTGAAGCAGCTTTTCAAAAATTTTTGAAATCACAATGTTTGCAAGTTAAATACTCTGTTATGGAAGCAGTATAGTCAGGTTTTATTAATGGTAATATTCCTTAATGTTTTGGATGAGATTACAAAAGAAAAGAATATCCATATCTGGAAGTAACAGCTTTTAAATAAGAGCATTTTTAAATGTAAAATTGTGCAAGAAATCTACATTCAATTTTGGCTTTGTTTACTAGGCTCCATGTTCTCACAAGCTATGAAGAAATGGGTCCATGGAAGTACTGATGAGGTAAATTCTACTTTTAGTATAAAGAGATTCCTGCTTACAAGTGCCACCCTGTCTAAGTAAGGTTTCAAGTTTTCTCTTTCTTTAATTCTTATCTTTAAGCAGCATGGCCCATCAGTGCTCCCTTATCCAGGATGTAACAAGAAAGGGTGGGTCCTTCCTAGCATCTAAAAATTGCTTGGTGGTGGCAGTGAAGTTATCTTCAGTCCATGGACTATGGCCATTAAGGGGTATTCATACATTCAAGTTTTCATCAACCAGCAGACATCAGTAATCAATGCAGAACAAAAGCTTACCTGTTTTCTTCTCCACTGTCAGTTTTACTTTCTGAAGTAGAGGCTTACTTTTTGAATAATTAAGTACATTGAGAGATGGGAGTTTAAAAAGAAAGATGTTTTATTTTGACTAATTAATATGAAAGTAGTCTTGATGTTGGACACCCAGTAGACTCTGGAAGTCAGTGAATAACATGTTAATATATCATAGCCACAGGGTGATCATAGCCAGAGAGTCTTTCATACATGGGAATGTTCTTATTCACGTAAATAGAAATGATATGCACATACAAGGGTACTTGAAAAAGTGCAAAGATTCATATTATTATTATTGTTATTTTAAAAGATGACTGGTAAGGGGATCTGAACCCGTGGCCTTGGTATTACCAACACCACACTCTCCCAAGTGAGCCATGGGCTGGCTTTCATATTATTTTTTAGTTCTATTTTTCAATGAACTTTTTGATGTACCCTCATACAGTTTTGTTTAGAACACTGATTATATGCATCTTGATCCTTTTAATTATATGCATCTTGATCCTTCTAATTATAGGCATCTTAATCCATCTTAACTATTAATAGTTTGAATTACTTTCTTTAGGCCCAAGAAGAACTAGCTTGGAAGATTGCTAAAATGATAGTCAGTGATGTTATGCAGCAGGCACAGTGTGATCAGCCATTAGAGAAATCTACAAAGGTAAGGATGACTTGTGTTCTGACCCAGTTTGTGTAAAACTGAAAAGAATTGTGTTATAGGTATATAAAAATAAAAAAGATCTAGGGAGGTTCTGAGTCTGTCTTTGAAGGATTAACTGCTATGGGAACTGCCTAAAACAACTAGAAAACTGACAAACTAAATGAAACAACTATTTCCAGATATTGGACAGTAAGCCGTACAGGGCTGGAATTCTTGAAAGAAGAGCAGTATTGAAGTGATCCTTAGTTAACTGCCTAGAAGTAGCTTCCAAAGTGCAGAGAAGGGGAAACCAAATAGGGCCCAGTAGTTTTGCTGAATTGAGGGTCAGAAACCAAAGTCCAGAGAACCAGATGTGGCTAGAAGTATTTATAGGACAGAAAAGAGGGAGCTGCCCAGAAAGAGAGAGCTACAGAGCTATTTAGAGAGGTCACCTCGAGTCCTTGGTCAAGTACTAATCTGTATGTGTGTGGGGTGAAGATGTAGATGTACACCGAAAGAACCATCAGAAATTAGAAGGCTGGGCCGGCCCGGTGGCGCACTGCTACAGTGTGCGGCTTGGGAGTGTGGCGGCGCTCCCGCCGAGGGTTCGGATCCCACATACAGACCGGTTCCCGCTCACTGGCTGAG